ACATTTAGTACCCCCAAAACCCCAAAACCCCTAGATAATTGAAACTTCAAAATCAAAATCATCTCAAAATTATTTTTAATCTTAAATCTTTTAATGGAATCAAAGACTGAATTTGATGTGATTATAGTTGGACTAGGATGTGTCGGAATTGCTGCAGCATTCTATTGCACTAAAATGGGATTAAAAGTTCTAGGAATTGAAAGATTTAATGATACAGGTTCAATTGGTACATCCTCATATGGCTTCACAAGAATTTGGAGAATGTGTCATCCAGATCTGAGATACAATGATATGTAGCAAGAAGCCATAGAAGTTTGGAGGGAGATTGAACAGAGAACGAAAAAAGAAATCTTAGTGAAAACAGGATTCGTTTGGATAGGTCCAAAAGATCATCCAGATTTTAAATCTGTTGTTGATTCGAAATAAGGAGAATTTATGACTAATCAACAGCTTAAGAGCAAGTATTCTGGACTATCAGCAATTCCGGATGATCTTAGCGGAATCTTTGTTGAAAATGCCGGCATTGTTAGAGTTCAAAATGCATTATAAGGAACTAAGTAACTTGCTATAGAATAAGGAGCTTCTTTAAAATTCAACACGAAAGTTTAGAAAATTGACAAAGTTAAGGGCGAAGTAACTTTGGAATCAGGTGAAGTTTTAAGAGCTAAAAACATAGTCGTTTGTTGTGGGTCTATATCAGATCAATTTTATGAAAAAGGTATCTTTGAAATGAGAAAATCACCATAAGAAACATATGTCATAAGTGATAATTCTGGACTGCCGCCAACAATGATAATGCATGGAGCAAAAGAACTAGAGGGATTCGATCTCTATGCTTTACTTGATGGTGAAAATCTATAGAATTATAAGTTTGGCTATGAAGCTGAGGCTACAGATAACACAAAAACACTACCAATTCTAAAGAAATATTTCCCTACCAAATACGAGAAGCTTATTCATGTTCAACCTTGCAGTTATGCAATTACTGAAGGAGAAGAATTTATTTTTGAAAGAAAAGACAAAGCTATATATGCCTTTGGACTAAATGGAAGAGGATTCAAACACATGCCTTATCACGGCAAAAGAATATATCACCTTGTTGCTGGAAATTAATAGGAAGCTGACAAGTACAAGAAGTCTAGAAATATTCCAATTCAATCAGAAAGTAAAATGCAAGAGCCCATAGCAAAATTATGAAACAAATTAATTCTATCCCTTGACCATTCAAATACTTAAGTAAAATATAAACTTATCAAAGAATATTTGATATTTTGTAATCCTATTATTCATCTATTCATACTCGATGGGGTTTTGGGGTTTTGGGGAGATCGGAAGAGCACACGTCT